TCGTTCAAGCTACTAGGATTTAGGGATGCTTGTGTGCAGAGGACGTGTTGGGAATTTCACTATAATTTCACATTTTGTTTCCTCTTGTTTTTTTTTTTTTTTCAGTTCCAGCAGTGTATTAGCGTTTGATGGAGAATGATACCTTGTCCCTTCTCGCGTGAGCAGAACATCCCGTTAGGCATTGTGATACTAAGAGAAGCACAATATGTCAGCGGTGGTGAATTGGCATGAGTAAATGGAGTCCAAAGGTTCTTGCCCTGGGCAGTGGCAAGACTCTTGAAGTATTGACTGTAAACAGTCCGACTATGTTGCTGCGCAATAGGGGAAATTATCATGAACTAGAAGCGATCACTCGCCACACATTAGACCGCAATATGAAACCCCTCTGCCCCCAGCTATCCTATTATAAAAATTAGCATCAGCAAAATTGCCGCAGCCCCGGAGGGTTGGAAGACGCAAGGTGATGTGTGTGAAAACCGTTCCGGCGTGCAGTAGAGGATTGGGAAAAGGTACAGTACTCAGTCCTGAACATGCAGAATGTCTTGGCTGGCTAATTAAGAAATAGGAGCAATATCCGGAAGCCAGAAAGGACAATCGGCAGCCTTGGGCGGTGTTCCCTAGGGCCTAGTGGAGGTGCTGCCCCACTGCCATGAGGTGTGTTGGGCTGGCGGCTTTGCGGGGGGGGGGGATTCGGGCTCAGGATCGGCGGTCGTGCAAGGGGGGGGAGGCTGTCGGCAAGCTGGGGGTTTGGGCATTGTATCCCCGATTCGACAGATTACTTGCTTTCTGTCTCCTACCAAAGCCAAGGTGAAGTGACCACAAGGAAAGTCTTGCTTAAGATAGAGCATTTCCTTTTCCTCCCATAATATCCTTGCCGCCCTCCCGGGTTTTTTGCAATGAACACCGGTGGAATCGAGGTGTGGGGAGCTGCCGACAGCGACACGCCGAATCGAGTCATGTCATTTGTGCCATAGAGCCTCACAAGTAATTGGATAGGTGATCATATCGCATCCCGTTTGCTCTAGATTGGGTACTCGGTGCGGAAGATAGTGGGCGTGAAATAACTACGGGCAATTTCGTGTTACTCGGGTTCTGGAATTGGGAGTAAGTGACACGGTGAACGCTTCTTATATTCGTTTCTTGATTGTTTTTGTGAAGACCATAGACTGTCCGCATTTGGAAGTGATCACGGAACAATTGAACTTTTGGCTTATACCCTCTTTGAATGGTTTATTTTAAATTTTTATGGTAAGAAATTCTCTTGGTTGAGGACATATCTCATTGGCTAAGCTTCTGTATACTTAACGAAGTAGGTCACTTTGCTCAAGAGAATCCTGTGATCAAGAAAATTCATCTATCCTGGCCGCCCGGTGAATTTTTTGATTTTGTCGCTAGCTAGCTTCAAGCACACCACGAAGCTTCTCTTGGTGAGCCATGCCCTCCTCGAGCTGTTCTTATACGCTCTCCGGCCAACAACCTTTTCCTCCCTCCTCGACCTCCCCACTTATTGACTTCTCCTTGAATTTACCGTTCAACAATGACCCGTGCGCACCATTTACCCAGAGGCATCAGGAATTAACTACTGGTATATGGCAGCTCCCACCAACCAAAAACCGTGTCTGTCTTATCGGGGGGTGCCCTTCAGAGCTTGATGGTGTGGGGCTCACTTGTAGCCTTAGCTAACCCCCTGAGTGAGTCTGATGGGAGGAGAGGTCTATAAGCCGGGTCAGCCAACTACCCAAAACCATCAAGAACCACAAAGTACCAAACTCCCAACACAATAGTAAGCAATACAATAAGATCAGGGACACAGAGGCGTTACTGCCCAATAGCAGGGCTGCGAGATTGGGGCATGCGCAGGGGGTTTCCGGTATACAATGATGTCCGGAAGAGCCTCAGATCAAGCGCAATGGAATGCAGGGGTTGCACACTTGTCATGCAATTCACAAAATAATTCTAGTTGAAGAGTGGCGAGCCGGGTGGTCCCCCCACCGGGTCGAGGAAGCTTGTGCAAAAATGTCGGGGAGCGCAGAGGTGACCAAAGGAAGCAAAATTTTGCCCGTGAAACCGACCATACAATCTCCCAGGACTCTAGGCATAAGTGGTATGTGCAGATTGGGCCTCCGGGATTGAAAAATGGGGACATCAGGGAGGCTAGAAGGATGAACTGAGCGTAATGAAAGGCCGTTGGAATTATACTAAATCCAGACAAATTCAGAATGTGACGCAGACAGTGGGCTTTTAGTTCTGCACAGTGTCTTGAGTGTAACGTTTTTCCTTTTTTGTCTGGGAACACATACGGAAAAGGGGTCACGATCGAGAGTTACCTATCGTCACTTATTTGTAGCTCTTATTGCTATCCCTTTGCCATTAACCAATTCTGTCCACTGCCTCCTCTTTCGTAACATTACCAAACGAAAGGGACTGTTTTTACATATCCGAGTGACCGATGGTGACTTGGACTGTTGTGTTGCATTCCGGAATAGCTCAACATATATATATCGTACCATCTCCTCTATATATGTACCAAGAGGTAAGGCCAAGGGAACTACAGCGCCCTATACTACATCCCGGCAATCCTGCAGGGGGACCCCCCAATCGCCGTCAATCCTAGTATTCACTCAGGTTAAATCTGCCACGACAAGGGCCGCGAGGCGGGCGGGATGGACTTTTGGGTACGCTGGATGGGGTGCCCCGGCATCGCGATTAACCCTTTCCACTTACTCCTTACAACATGCAGTTTCAGTTTGCAAGTGACTTATTTTAGAGATATCCTTTGATTCATGGACAGGCTAGCTATAGCACCTGGCATGTCGAGAGCCGCTGGCGATGGCCCAAGCAATCAGGACTATATACTAGGCCACCAGCCTCCTATACCTTCCTGCAGCTCCGGAAACCTTATTCTGTTATCCATCCATATCATCATGATTGACTTACTGCTCACTCTCCCCTCTATAGATGACTCCCAGGCGGGTTGTGGTGATCATCCAATATCCGCGGTGGAACTCGTTCACTGGAGCTTTTTAGCTCTAGTCCCTCTCGCACCTGCAACATTTCACTCACGTGGGGGCATAATTTGGGACTTCGATTTTTGTTTCTGCAATGGAAAATATGCCCCCCGTCAACTGCACCTGCTACTAATGAGGGGAGATTCTCGACCAACCTCTAATGCGGTGTGAACATAGTTTCAGTTATCCGCCAGTCAAGTCATCCCAGGAGACCCCTTTGGGTTTTTTGCTCTTTTACGAATGGTTGGGAATACAGCTAGTTACACGTTGAGTGGGAATTGCTGGGATAAATAAATTGGATTATATTCAATAGCATAAGCCATTGGAGAGCTCTCGGTAGCTAGAGGCGGGTGGTATAGCAAAACCGAAAGGGCATTGAAGTAATGGGGATAGGTGGCAGCTATCAAGTAATAGGTAATAGATATTTGGGGATTAGACGTGTTAAAGCAGTCGGTCGAACCGTTGGACGATCGGTACGGTTGGGTCGTGGAACACGAGGTCATAGCATCCGGGAATGCTCGGGAACAATAGGGAGCCTTCAGGGAATTTGCAAAGATTCCTTTGATGGAGAAATCACCTCTATGGGTAGAATGAACCCCGCACCTATTTTCAAGGAATCCGCCTGCCAATAAACTTTACCCCCCCTCAATAACCCCTTAGAATCCTCCAACCAGCTGCTCATAAATCAATCCACACGCAAGGTGCCATACCTCCCCCCGAGTGAACATCCATTGAGGCCCCACTCCAGTACTCACACTTTTATGCTGTACCCTCGCCTCTCTGGAGAGTTGCTACGTTTAATAAGGTGCTGTGTTATTTGGGTTGGGCGTTGATATTTCCGCCTTCCTCCAATAGACGGCGCTCAACCGCCACCCCCTGCCTAAGTCCAATTGCTAGAGTCAAATGTGCAAAATTATTGGGGAATGGATCATAGCAGCCGCCATTTCCTTGGAACACGGTAAAGCCATGTGAGAGGCTGGTAGGTCGGCCGATGTAAATTAGTCGCGTATACCCTAATCATGAATATTGAGTGTAAATATTAGCCAGTATAAAGCTATAAGCCCTGGAAGATGGTGTACACTGGCACTTACTGTACCTCGACAAGGCAATACTCTTTTAATAACGAACTCACTACAATTTGGTGAACTAGGTAAATCTTAGAATAAACAATACGCACGAGATGGGCGGACTAATTTCTTATTATTATTATTTTTCTTGTGGAAGATTCCGAACTCCCCCGACCTCCTTGCCCCCGTCCGAATCGAGTGAGGGATCGTTTTCCCGGGGCGTGAGGTGAGGTCATGCGGCTGCTACAACCAATTCGAGGGTTCGTCCGGTTCTGTCGTGGTGGTACTTTATTAGAGATCTTGGTGAGGCGTTGCGTTAGGTTGCGGGGCAAGGTTAGTAAACCCCGCCACCCCCGCGGGTTATCCTGATTATGCTCCAAAATCTAGGGGACCCCCGAGAGAAAAAAGAGTCCCTGGCCGACATGACGCAATGAGGGCAAGTATTCCAGCCCTCTTCAGGATTCTCGCAGACTAGCCCGAGGCCCTGCATCCCATCGCCCACGACTTGGGCGCGATAAGTGCGATAACGCTGACTCTGTCCTCCTCTTTCAGCCGGATATTTGCTGTCCGTGCGCCGGCTTCTGTGTCGCGGATGAATTGAAGCTGTGAATCTCAGAATTCCGTCGGGGGTTGGGATCTGGGAAGATGGGTTATGTAATAGGAAGGCGCGGCTGACTCACATACCTTACGGGTATGAGCCGCATTCCCCCCAAATTCCAATTTGAGCTTAACCAACCGTGTTGCCCGGATTTCCGGGGGGCTGGACATTGCGTAGTAGCCCTCTTTGTTTTTCACGAATCCCTTCTCCGCCCGACTATCCTAACTTATGTCCTTTCATTCTCTTCTGCCCACTACTGTACGTGCCCACGATATGAGAGCTTCAGTATTTGCAGGACCCGAGCGCCACTAACTGGGATTTTACCAAACTGTCAAGAACTGAGAGAATTATTCATCCTGATACCCAGTCTTGGGCTCTCGGTCGGGCGTATCTCGCGTCATAACTTAATTTAGCGCTAGCAAAAGGATTCCACGCAGAACCAGTTAGCTACATCTCTCTACCATCATCGCCGGCCTTCGGAAACTGCTTCATATTCACCCAGATTCCACTACTTTACCTTGATGGATCGGTCGGTCACCCGTTCCTTCAATGTCTCTGATCCCGAGAACACGAATCAATATTCTAACAACCTTGCCAGAGTTACCCAAGCCCAACCCAACATCCAGGGAAGATACAGCGGGAATAATGGCAATAACAATGTTATTGGTAGTAATAATACCATCAAAATCACAAATGTACTGCCCGATACGACAAATTCCGGGGCTGCTAATCAGGGTGGCGCGTTTGGCGTTCGAGACGGAGGTATTACCCGGTTTCTAGAGAGACTTTGGACGAGGAACTAACGTGCTACCCCTACCGAAACAAGCATCGAAGCCCTACCACTTGATTCCCTACGGCAGGAATAGCACGTTTACTGGCCGGAAAAATCTCCTTGAGTTGGTGAAGAGATTTGCGGAATGCAGTTCTCATAACCGGATCGCACTTCTTGGGTTGGGCGGCTCGGGGTATGTGCTTATTATGTTGCTATTATACTAAAGGATTCTCTAACATCGCCTAGAAAAACTCAGATTGCCCTTGAATACGTTTATCAGCGCATCAGCATGAGCGATTGTCATGTTTTCTGGGTGCAGGGAAGTGGGCTATTGAAGTTTAGCGAGGGCTTTAGGGATATTGCACAAGCTGTTCCGCTTCCTCTAAACAGCGCCGAGCCAGATGAAGAGGAATTCCTAATGGGTACAAGGAGGTGGTTTGAAGGCGCAAACAGTGGTGACTGGATTCTGGTTATCGACAACGCCGACAACGACGCCGATTTTACCGGAAACAGCAGCCCCGTCGCTAAGTATATCCCACAAGGTACCAAAGGGACCGTGATATTCACGACTAGATCTAGACAGGTTGCATCCCGGCAGGGTTGCAGAATGATTGAGGTTGGAAAAATGGAGGAGGACGATGCACAAGAGTTGTTTTCAAAACGCTTTACTGGCTGCAATAGCTTTGAGGGTGAAGAGAGCAAGGCCGTCGCAATGATCCTGGAATCGTTGCATCACCTACCGCTAGCTATCATAGGTGCAGCAGCCTTCATGACCGAGACTGGAACACCACCCTCCGCTTACTGGACTATTCTCCAGGATAGTGACGAACAAGCGAAGAGATTACTTTCGCAGCGGTTTTGCGACATTCAACGCGAGGCTGATGTGACAGAAACGATCCTCAGCACCTACTTTATCACCTTTGACCGAATTAACAAACAAATGCCCGTAGCAGCGCACCTTCTGCGGCTAATTGCATTCCTCGATCGTCAAAAAATACCGGAGGTGCTGTTGTGCCAAAGCAGCTTGGAGGGGACGAATGACCCAGTTAAGTTTCGTCAGGCCGTGGGAAAGCTTTTGGGATTCTCGTTGGTCGCGATGACTAACGTGGAGGGGGAAACATTTTACGAGCTACACCGCTTGGTCCAACTATCTTTACAAGTTTATTTACCAGCTAAGGAGTTCAAAAAGGCGAGGGCCACTGCACTAAAGGTGGTTTCAAGACTCTTTCCTCAGGACCAGAGCGAGCGGCGATATGCTGGTCCTGTATACGTTCCGCATGCACTTGCTGTGACTAAAGATTCCACGGATCCCATTGCCGAAGAGCTTAGTTTTCGCATAGGACAGTACTTCTTAGATAAAGGTTCCTACATGAACGCAGAAATCCAATTTCGTCACTGTATTTCCCTTCGAGGGGAAGGGAAAGATTATGACTGGGATTATGAGGGCCAAAGGAGGTTTACGCTCCTGGGGGTAGCAAGCGCACATCGAGGAAAGGCTCATATGCCGAGTAAGATGTTTCGGAATTTACTGTGCGGTCTTAAGAGGTCAATACTCCCAAACAACCGGGACGGGCTCAAGTACATAGGATACCTAGCACTCGCGCTGCAGGACCAAGGAAAGTACGACGAATCAGAGACAATACATCGGCATGCACTAGAGCGGCGGAGGAAGATTCTTGGACCAGACCACCCCAGCACCCTAACCAGCACTAACAACCTGGCCACTGTGCTGCAAGATCGTGGAAAGTACGTTGAATCAGAGACGATACATCGGTGTGCCCTGGAGCGGTGCCAGAAGATTCTCGGGTAGTGTTCACGAGCCGGCTCGAGCCGAGTCCAGACCTGGACTCGAGCCGGCTCGGCTCGTGGCACCCCTGGACTCGAGGGCTCGAGCCCAGGTCGCACCTAGACTCGAGGACTCGAGCCAGGCTCGAGCCGCCAAGAGGCTTGAGTCTAGAGTGGCCACGATACCTCTACACACTGCCACAATCATTCAAATCAACCAACAATTGTATATAGCAACTTGAAAACAAATACAACTAGCCAAATAACCTTCCCACTATCCCCGAGTCCGATTCCTGGGGAAGTTCACCATCTCCTTCTGTGTCTGCCTCGTGGTTCCCGTCTTCCCCACGGGTTTCCTCTACCTCTTCCCATGTTTCCACCTCCGGTAGCCCAAGCCAGGCCTTGGTTAGCATAAGCAATCAGATAGTCCTACCTACCATGCAATTGCGCTTTTCTGTACTGCATTGGTAGTGGTAGGAGGCGGGGGGTGGTAGGCGGAGGTGGTGGTATATGAGACATGGAGTTGCGGCGGTAGGAGGTTTCGATGGTTTGACGGATAAGCGGCAGCAGCGCCAAGAGACTCGAGTCGGCTCGTGGACCCCTGTTCGAGCCGGCTCGAGCCGCCAAGAGACTCGAGCAGGCTCGAGCCTAGTGACCACCTAGGCTCGAGTCCGCTCGGCTCGTGCACAACACTATTCTCGGGCCAGACCACCCCAGAACCCTAAAAAGCACCAACCACCTCGCTATTCTGCTGGGGGACCAGGGGAAGTATAATGAATCAGAGGCTATGCATCGGTGTGTGCTGGAGCAGTGTGAGAAGATTCTTGGACCAGACCACCCCAACACCCTAATAAGCACTAGCGGCCTAGCTCTCGTGCTGGGAGACCAGGGAAAGTACAATGAATCAGAAAGGATTCATCGGCGTGTATTGGAGGGGTATGAGAAGATTCTTGGACCAGAACACCCGTGCACCCTAACAAGCACGAATAATCTGGCTGCCGTGCTGCAGCACCAAGGAAAGTACGATGAATCAGAGACGATACACCGGCGCGTACTAGAGCAGCGCGAGAAAATTCTCGGACGA